TTAAACTTAGTACGTGTTACCGGTACCGTAACGTACCGCCTTCGGTCCGGTACCGACGACAGAAAGGAAGAAGACGTACTCACGACGAACGACCTTACCTACCACACACACACACACACACACACACACACACACACACACACACACACACACACACACACAGGGAGATAACCTACGAATGGAAAGACTAGGAAAGCTGTTGGGACAGTATTAAACCACGCACCGTCTGAGGGTCAGTAAGTCCATAGTCATCTAAAGCCTTAATATTGTGAAGTCCTAGCACAGGGTTTTCCGGGGTGTGATAGTTACATATTAGGTAAGAGTGGACAAGACATTTTAAGTTCCTCTTTCTACATTTTTCTTTCGATCCTTCTAAGTTCAGGCAAGCCATCTCAGTTTAGCACCAATAGGGCTTGAACTCCTCCCTAACACTGCCTAGTCGACTTAGCTCTGCAACAGTACCTAATTAGAATTTACCACTGCTGTTCTGTTTACATTAAACTTATTGTATTTTCTGATTTCTTACTCTTCCCAGCAAGTGATCACTGGTTTTTCATTGAAGGTATTCATATAAACGTTCCTTTTAAAAACATTTGTTCTTGGAAATGTTTAAATGTGAATTCACCTTCAAGGAAAAGAACTGACATTGTCTAGTGCTTTTTACAGACATTAACTCACTTAATTCTACCTATGGAGTATCTATCGACTACCATTACCCTAATTTATAGAGGAAGAAACTGAGGCACAAAAAAGTTAATGAATCTATCCAAATAGTGACAGCAGAGCCAAGATAGGCTCTGACACCAAAGTTCATGCTCAAACCACTAGCCTACACTGCCTCCAGGTAAATACCTGCACAGGTGTTGCACAGTCAGCTGAGGCTGGGAAATGCTGCATGAGGAGGTACTAAATATACCCCAGGAAAATCATTCCAGATGGTGTATAGATCTTCTACAAGGATGTTCACTACCATATTATCTATAACAGCAAAAAGCTGGAAGCCTTCTGAATGCCCAATAATAGCAAGTTACTTAGGAAAAGTGACAAAGCAACTGAACCTGGAAAACTTAATCGACTCACCTTCTCTTATACCTCACACCCATCCTGGGAGCAAATTTGTCAACTTGACCTTCAAAATATATCCAGAATCCACGTCTTACTCTATCCACCATTACCACCTGGGTTCAAATCACTGTCATCTTTCACCAGTGTTACGGCAAGAGCTCCCAGCCATTCTGATGATTCCAAATAATCTTTCTTCAATCCCAGCCTCACACTGGGCAGCAGTCTCCATGCTGGACACCTGCTCCAAGCAGCCCACTGACCCACCAGTGTCCAGACCCTTCCACAACCAGGACGAAATGAATGAACACGTGATACACCAGCATCCAGCATCCTTATAGTTCTTGGTCCTCCCATCTCTGTGCTTTGCTTGCTCAGTGCCCTAGTAGGAGCCAACAGGCTGAATAGCATAGGCTTTGGGCTCAAGCAAGCCTGGATTTGAATTTCAGCTCTCTGTGTCCTTGGGCCAGTTATTTAAACCTGGCCTCGGTTTCCCTAACAGCTCAGTGGTGCAAATCATCCACTTAGATCTTGTCATGAGGAACACATAGGTAGAGCTTGGCACATGGTAAGCACTGAACACTCTATAATATGAATGCTATTTATTGAGCACTTACTATATGCCAGGTAATGTACCCTTATCCATCATATGATCCTCACAGCATCTTTATGGAATAGGTACTATTCTTTGTCCATATTCTCAAGAAGAAGAGACTGCAGTTCCAAAAGGTAAATAATTTCCCTAAGAAGACTCAGCTGTGGGATGGTGGACCTGCAAATTAAGCTCACATCCCTTGTTCCCTCCTTCTGTTGGGACTTGCCTATCCTTCAATGCCCACCTCCCTCAGGGAAGCTTTCCAGACCCCCAATGTCCCCCATGGAAGTCTTCAGTCCTCTGAGCTGCCAAGGAGCAGCCTGCTTGTGGTCTTGTTTGCTCTCAGCCTACATGTTGTTCTGGTTTAGCTCATGCTCCATGTGTCCTTCCTGTTTCTTCACTGCTTGAGACATCCTTTCCCCATCTTCTGACCCAGAGCTTGGCCCAAGTTTGTTGAATGACATTAAAAGAGAGAATGCACGATGGAAAGACACAAGCCTGGAGAACCTCATGTATCTGGGGCCCTTGACCAGCCTCTGGTCTCACTCTATCCCTCCTCAAGACCAGACCCCGCATTTTGTCCCCTCACCCCACCTCAAGCCCTAACCCAACTCCAAGCTCATCAGTGAACTGGGCGGGTCTTGCTGAAAATCAGACAACCAACAAATCCAGCTCCCCTCCTCCACAGACTCCTTACTGTGTCTCCTCTCTCTTATCCCCCTCCCCATATGGTTTCCAGAATCATCTTCATTTTCTCAAATCCTTTGTTATAGCCCCCAGCTTACAAGTTCCACCAGCGGAACAAACTGTCTTTGAAAAACAGCTCCTCGATCCTCCATCATTAGTTCACTCACAGCCAGCCCACATCATGCTTATTTTCAAATTAGAAAAAGGCACTCCCTTTACCTGCATGGACACAGAAGCCGGCTTGGCAAAGCGGAGTAAAGGCTGGATTTCAGCCCCACTCCTGCCCGCTTGAGTCGCTCTGTGCAGGGTGCAAACCTTCAAATTACATATGATGGCCCTAAACTCCCACCCAAACTCATCAGAGCCTTCACCTAAGCAAACAGATCTCCCAGGAACACAAGGTGTTTGTGTTCTGCTGATAATTAAAGTTAGATTTTCTCCACATACTAGCCATGAATCCTTACACAGATCAGAAGGGCTGACAGTCCTGAGCTTGCACAAGGCCCAGGAGGGCCAGAGGGCTTTCCCCAGTCTGCAGTGTAGAAATGAGGCCTGAACTCTGGCCCCCCTGCTATGTCTCAGGATAACCACAGCCCCACGGCGCACTCTGTCTGTGACCCTCAGCTTTAAAATCTTGCAGTATTAAGAAACTTTGAGATATTTAAAAGCCTAACGTGTCTTTACCCAGCTATGGAAAAACAAGACTGACACAAACAAATTTTGCGTCACCTACCAACAAGCACCTCACTGATTTGCAATTTAATTTAATCTCATGTTGCAATTAGGGAAACTGACATTCAGAGAGGGCGGTGGCCTGGCCAGGACTCACAGTGAGTCAGAGCTGAGCTGGAGTCACAGCCCTGATCTCCACGTCTCTGCATTGGCCCACTCATTCATTCACTCACATAATCACTGAGCACCCACTAGGTGGCAGATGCTGTGGTGGGTGCCAGGGACAGAATGCTGACACAGACCAAGTCCCTGCCATCGTGGTGTCTGAGACTGGCAATAAACAAGTAAACAAACAAGCAAAACGATGATAAGTCTTGACAGAAGGGTCAGGGAAGGCTGCACAAAGGAGAGACCATCAAGCTACACCCTGAGGATGAGAAAGAACCCATCACGGAAGGAACCCAGAGAAGGACATTACCGGCTGAAGGAATGGTGAGAACAAAGGCTCTGAAACACGTTTGAGGAACAGAAAGCCGCCCAGGAGGGCTGGTGTGTGCTCAGTGATGCCAGGAGGGGTGCACCATGAAGTCAGAAAAGGAGCAAGCCCCGGATCACGGAGGCCTCAGCAGGGGGTCCAGTTTACTCCGGATGTAGTGGGAGGCCACTACCGAGCGGTCCAAGCGGTGTGAATTCTAGGAGAGACACCTAGACCCTGAGACTCCAGCACTGCCTGTCCTGACCCCTCAGGCCCCTCGGTGTCCCCTCCTCACCATCTGGCTCCAGATGTTGCAGTCGTGGGACACCCACTCCTGTCCCCCCATGACAGTGAGGCCTTGCCTGCCCTGTAGACACGTACATGGTGTAGAGCGCTGTGCTGCAGAGAGAAGCCAACACCTGGCAGGTGGCCAAGGGGGCATCTCCAGGTCACTCTGGTGCAGCTAGGTCCTTCCTATGCAGGCCAGGCACCCCTGGGTGCCTGGGGGTTTCCAAAAAGCATTTCCCGCCCCCAGAAGAGGAAGCAGTGGCTTCTACAGACTGTTCCTCATGGCTGCTGTCTGCTGGGTGAGAGGCTGACAGAGCTGCGGGGAAGGGCTCAGAGTCTACCCTGGCGTCTGGCAGATTCCAGGCCCGGGCAGAGAGTAACGGAGAAGACTGGAAAGCGGCAGGACGAGGGGAGAGGGAGTTTTAATCTCACTCTACATAAAGCCCACGCCTCCCGGCCATATCAGGCCATCGGGAGAGTTGCGGCTCCTGTTCTCAAGGGGCTCACCAGCTCGCAGGCACACTGTTGATGGCTCTCCCCTTGAGCTAAGCAGACCCTGACATGTGTGGATAATGTTTTTATAACAGTGATGGCACTGCAGAGCAGTGGGACTGGGTGGCCACTTCAATAAACAAGGCCAGTAGGTGAACAAGGGGCGGGGAAGTCACTGGCCCGCCTCCTTCACACCATACACAAAAATCTACTTACTCTCAGTGCGTGATAGAGCCCCAAGTGAGAAAGGCAAACTAGAAAGGTTTTTAGAATAACACGAATTTCCTGCACTTGTACAGTGCTTACTACATACCAGCATGCTTTGCACATCTTAATTCATCTGAAGCCTCCCAGTGGCCTGTGAAGCTGTCACAGAAATGGCAATAAGTGGGGAGGGTGTAGCTCAGTGGTAGAGTGGGTGCTTAGCATGCATGAGGTCCTGGATTCAATCCTCAGTACTTCCGTTTAACAATGAATTAATTAAAAAAAGAAATAAGCCTAATTATACCCGCCACCCCCCCAGTTTTTTTTTTAATTTAAAAAGAAATAACAATAAAGAATAATAAAGGAGAAATGTCCATGATCTTAAGATATGACACTGGCTGTGAAAGATTGATACGGTTGAATACTTTAAAGTTGACAACTTCTATTTATCCAAAGACCCCATAAGAAGCACAAATGCAAACTACAAGATGGGAAAGGATATTGGGAAGTGTATGCACCACCAAATGAGTACATAAAAAAAACACCCACAAACCACTGAGAAAATAATCTAATCAAAATGAGCAGTGGAGTCGAACAGACCCTTCACCAAAGAGGACATAAGGATGGTAAACAAACAAACAAACAAAAAAGCCCATGAAATGATGCTCAGGATCACAAGTCATTAGGGAAATGCAATTTAAAACCGTGATGAGATACCACCACACATCCATTGGGGAACAGCTCACATAAAAAAAATACTGGCCCTAATAAGTGCAGGTGAGGATGCAGAGTACCAGAACTCTCATGTGGGACGGCAGATGACTCAGCCACCCAGGAAGCGGCTTGGCATAATCTAGTACAGTTGAAGCTTATTCATACTCTAAGATCCAGTAATTTCTCCCCAGATAAACATGTGCCCCTGGATGAATGTGTAAGAATGCTCCCAGCAGCACTGATCATGGTGGCCCGAACTAGAAACAGTCCAAATGCGCATCCACAGACACACACACAAAAGGTAAGTACTGGTGTATTCAAACAACGTGATGATACAACAATGAAGATGAAAAAAACTTCAGCTACCCACAAAAAATTGACGAATCTTATTCACATTAATGCTGAATGAAAGAAGCAAGGCACCAATGCATATGAACAGTATGTGTGGCTCAATTTACATACAACTCAAAAATGAGTAAAATGAAACTCGATTGTTCAGGAGTCTGTTCGTAGGTGGTACATTACAAAGAGAAGCAAGGAAATGACCCCCATCACAATCAGAACCGGGGAGGGGAGGACTCTCAGCTGGGGAGAGGCACAGGGTGGCCCTTTCTGGGGGCTGAAGAGGTTTTATTTTCAGTCTTGTCCCGGCCTTCTGCCCTCCAGGCCACAATACTGTTGGCCACATATCACACTATTGCCCAGAGGTTTGGCTTCCCTGGTACCTTCTGTCAGATGTATGGGATGCAGCTTCGCCCCGATAAAGATAAGTCTACCCCACCTCCCTTTCTCATCAGGCACTGGCTCTGTGTCCCACCAGCTCTCTGCTCTAAGCCTCAGTTTCCCCATCTGTCAATGCCTTGCTCACAGGGTAGGATAATGAACAGTAAAGAGCTTAGGGAATTCATGTCCAAATGCCAGAGATAGTCAAGGACCCTGAGGGTCAGCCAGGCTGCTGCAAGGCTGTGGGAACTGAGGTCCAGGCCCACCCTGCCCAACCCAGCTCTGCCCAGCGGGGCAGCCTCAGGCTGTCTGTCAGTTGAGTTCACTACCATCTTTCATCAGCCAATAGGCGGAGGCGACCAGGAGCAGGTCACACAGCCTATTTCCTGTTTTCATACGGAGAACTTAGCAAAGCCACAGCCACTAGCCTGCTCGCCCAGAGCTTGGAACGGAGAGCCGAAGGGGGGCCATGTGATACCCCTCCCAGACCCCTGGACACACACAGGACCAGAGGCCTCAGGTCAGTGTTTGATCTCAAGCTCAGTGGGCCTCTGCCCACCTGTGGCCTGAGCCTCCTCTTCCTCTGACTCTCCCTCAGTACTCCTTGGGGGCAGGGTGGGACGGAGAAGGGTTCGTGACAGCCTCTGTACACCGGGCTCCCCTTGGAGCCTTGCGGTAGAGCAGGGAGCAGCTCCTTGACCCTCCATCTTCTCAATTCCTTTTTTTAAACTGAAATATAGTTGATTTATAATGTTGTGTTAGTTTCTGGTATACAGCGTAGTGATTCAGTTATACATACATTCCTTTTCATATTCTTTTTCATTATAGGTTATTACAAGATATTAAATATCTTTCCCTGTGCTATACACATAAACCTCGTTGTTTATCTATTTTATATATGGTAGTTAGTATCTGTAAATCCCAGACTCCCTCCCTTTCCCCTTGGTAACTATAAGTTTGTTTTCTATGTCTGTGAATTTCTTTCTGTTTTGTAAATAAGTTCATTTGTGCCACTTTTTAGATTCCACATATAAGTGGTATCATATGGTATTTGTCTTTCTCTGTCTGACTTAAACTTCACTTAGTATGACAATCTCCAGGTCCATCCGTGTTGCTGCAGATGGCATTATTTCATTCTTTTTTATGGTTGAGTAGTAAGTATTCTTTTGTGTATATATACACAAATGTAGTGTGTGTGTGTGTGTGTGTGTGTGTATACACCACTTCTTCTTTATCCAGTCATATGCTGATGGACATTTAGGTGGCCTCGATTCCTTCTGAAGTGCCAGCTGTTTCTCCACCATTGAGCTTGAGCTTGAGCTTGGGGAATAATCCACCACACCTGTGTTTCTCAAAAGTGGTGCCAGGGAGCCCCTGTGTCAGCACAGCTCTCAGGACTTGTGAAAATGCAGGCTCCAGGGCTCACCCTCAGATCTGCTAGATTGGACTCTCTGAGGTTGGGAGCAGGAGGTCAGCTTTGGACAAGCCCTCAGCACCCCCACTGCCACCCCCAGGAGGTTCTGATGCATGCTCACGTTTAGGAGTGTGCCCCTCCAATGACCATAAACTTCTGTCTCCCAGGTCAGACCAGGGTGTTTACTCTGCTGGAGTCTCCCCTCTGATGGAAAGTCCCCTGCTGCCCCCTCAGAAAGGTAGTATGGGCTCTGAAAGGTGCCCTGTGTGCCCACCAGAAGAAGGCTGGACATGGCAGGTGGCCCTGGGAGGGAGAAGTGATGTTCAGGCATCTCAGGAGGGAAGGAATAGGGTGATCACTCATGGAGCTGGATGGCGGAGGGGCTGGGAAGCTGCTGTCACCAGGCCAAGGGCAGGTTCCCAAGCCAACAGCACCAACACTTGCCATATATTATCTGTGTCCTGTCCACCAATGACCAGCTCTTGATCCTGGGCAACTCATTTTCTTTATCATCAAATGGAGATGAAAAACTCCTCCCGTACATGGATTCAGATTAAGTGAGAGAGCAGGTGTGGAGCGCAGGGGGTGGAGCTAGCCTGTTGTGAGAATTTGGCTTTGCTTGTTGGGCACACAGACCAGCCACGTGACCTTGGGCTAAACCTCAGTTTCCTCATCTGTTATTGGGATCATGACAGATTATTGTGGATGTGAACAGCCTAGGTGCATACAAAGTGGGTATAACATGTTAGTAAATGTCTGCTAAAGGATAAAAAGGGTTGGGGGGAAGGAAAGGATACATCCCAATCTCCCTGCTTTGGACACTGAAATTTCATTTGCACGTGTAATATAAAATGGAGTGTTAGCACGTTTTTCTGGACAAGCCAGCATCTTTCTCCCAAGTTGTCATGAAAACCCTTACGTTTGCTTGAAATCACCTCTTTTAAAATTCGAAGCAACTCAATAATATAAAGATCCTGACGTTAAGAGAAGGTTCTGCTCAGCCTAGGAGACATCAGTCCAGCCAAGGGCCAGGCTGCCATCTGGCCATAGCGTGGACAGCCAGGTGGGCAGTGGAGGGCGCAGCAGTGGGGACTAGGCACCCCAGGACCCACCGGGCACCCCAGCAGGAGTAGGGACTCACTCTCCTCTCTTGTCCCCCGGGCAGCCTTGGAGCATGGCAAATTCCAAGCACCACGGGAGCCCTGGATGGACAGAACCTATACACCAGTGCATGGCGGGGACCAAGCCAAAAGCAGCGGCCCCTGGCCCAGACCTCCCACGCCCAGGACCTGAAGAGCACCTAGGTGGGCTTGAGGCTTGGGGCAGGGTCAGGGGATAGAGGTTTGAAGACATATGAAATACCAGTGTGGTTGCTTCAGCAGATGCCATCAGAAAGCAAGACAGCTCACTTAACTTGGGGAGATATCTGGGAGATGATCCCAGGAGGTATGGCAGGGACTGGGAAGGTGAGGAAAGGAAGGGCAGGAAGCCAGAACAGGGTGTTGATGAACAGGTTACCACTGTGGGCAGGTGGGGTCCAGTCCCAACGGGAGTTCTCTGGGAAAAAAGCATGGAACACACCTCAGAGTGTCCCATCCCAGAGGCAGGGAGGCCAGGCTGCAATCCACCAGTCCATCCTCCATCAGCTGAGGGACTTTCCGCAGCATGCTAATATGGCTGGAGAAAGCCCTCACAGGGAGAGTCGTAGGTGTGTCCAGTGGGAAGCCAGTGGGATGTTCCAGAACAATGAGTACCAAGGGGAGTGGCAGGGCACTGACCCATCTGCTACAGCGCCATCACCTGGAGCAAAAAATTATCCACCATATTCATGCCACGGTTCAAGATGCCTGCCTTGTACCTGGCTCTGTGCGGGTGCTGGGGAAACAGGAGTCAACAAGCCCCGTGTTTAGTTAGGGAAACAGACCTGTGGGATATAATGTAAGATCCCACGGAAAGGGCTATGGGGACAAGGTGGGAGGCTCTTACTCCAACGCCAGGGGGTGGTTGAAGGGATAAGCGGGCTGGGTCTTGGACATGGTGGAGAAGGGCTCCTGGGACACAAATCCCTTGAAATGAATTTTATAGTGATTTGTGCATTTGGGGTGAGAAATGATTCTAATCTTTCCCAAGATTCTCAGAATGGCCCACGGCTCAAGTGAGGTTTAAGAAACACTTTGTTTTCCCAGAAGGGAAAGAGGAGAAGGCATTTAAGGCAGAAGGGGTGGCTGATGCAAGAAAAAGCCCAGAGTGTAGGAAATGAGATGAGATTTATGAGCTGAGCCTGGAGCCTCGCATCCTCTCAACTCCCTCCACCATCTGCTGGTGTGTGCTCAGCAGGCGACGACCACGGAGTCAAGGCTGTAGGGAGGGCAGAAACAAACCATCTACATCCCTGCTCTCCAGGAGCATGGGATTTCACAGGGGCCAAAAGTGGACGATGCATCCCAAACACGCTCTGTTTCACAACCAAGAAGCCACCTGGGGACAATGGGCTCTTCCAGGTCGTCAGCAACAGGATGCATTCAGCTGGGTTGGGTGCAGGGGCCTGGCTGATGCCCAACTGGGCCTATAAATGGTGGGATGGGGGAGGGAGATATTCACAGCTCTTCCAGATCCTGTCCCCAAGCCCTTGCCCCCAAAGCGCACTGACCCATGCTAGTCCTTAAGGGTGCGGTCCTTCCAGATGTCCACAGCAGCCCGAGCTCCAACTCCAACATGACCACGCGGGAGCTGCAGGAGTACTGGCGCAGCGAGAAGTGCTGCTGGAAGCACGTCAAACTGCTCTTTGAGATCGCGTCTGCCCGCATCGAGGAGAGGAGGGTCTCCAAGTTTGTGGTAAGCGGAGACTAGGAAATCATGGTATGCCTTTCACCACCTCTATCCTGGCCCTGGGCAAGGCTGGTGGAGCCTCAGTCTGCCCATCGTGAAATGGGTTGACACACATGAACTCACAGGGTTATGGAGAAAACGGGCCCCTTCACAGCACTGTGAGGGTTGGAGACGTAGGAGTCAAGGTCCCTGATCCTAAGAAGGATTCAGCCCCAGTTTAATTCATGTACCCAGTTTCTGTGTCCCTTCTTCACTGCGTTTGACATCCCTGTATCATTTTTATTATTCTTTACCTAATTTTTTTTCTTTAAAGTGGATCACTCTTTTAAGACACTGAATAGATGTATTTCAAAGGGAAATATCTTAAATGGAAAAACCAGAATCTCATGGCATCAGAAAAGGTCATTACAAAAGTAAACACAAGGAAAGCTCAGTGCTGTTATGAAATTCTGGCTGGTTATGGTGGCTGGTGGAAAGCTGTGCCTGGGGGCTGCTCTCTTTGTGAAAATGGAGTTTCAGCCCATGGTGGGGGAGAGGTTAATGACTATGGAAGAGCCACACAGCCTTTCTCCCCCCACCCACCCCCCTTGATTGGGATGGAATGGTCACAATAGCTGACACTGTGTGCTGACTGCATGTCATGGTTATTAACTCATTTAATCCTCACCCAGTGAGGCAGGCTCCATTCCTATCCTCGGTTTATGGATGGGAAAACTGAGGCTCAGAGGAGTTAAAGTCCCTACCTAAAACCACACAGAGAGATGGTGGTGGAATTATAACCCAGGCAGTCTGTGCCCCTAATCAGCATTCTCTTGAAAGAGAAGATAAAGGAATAATTTTCTCACTGTACTATCACTGCCAATAGATCACCTAACACCACCTCCCTGGAGTTCCACACTTGCAAAACACAGACCTTATTAATCCAAGCTTCCCAGTTCAGGAACCTGAGGCCCAGTTTTGACCATGTAAGACTGAGAACGCCCCCAGGCCCCCCCCACCCCACCCCCGGCCCAGCAGGTCCCCGCTCCTCCTGGCCCAGGATGCCTCTGTGTCACTGTTTGTTATTCTTCTTTTGACTCTTGTCTTGATTCGCTTTTACAGCTCAGCCGATGCTGGCGGTAATTTAAAACAATTGCAGATAACGATCACCCATTTCCAGGGCCTGCTTTAAATGATGATCATCATTATTTTATTTCCTGGGCTCGCTCTGGCAGTTCAAACCCTCCGTCAGGATGTACTCAAAGGTGCTCTCTCTCTGCACCGCAGATGTACCAGATCGTCGTCATCCAGACCGGGAGTTTCGACAGCAACAAAGCCATCCTGGAACGGCGCTATTCAGACTTCGAGAGGCTCCAGAAAAAACTCCTAAAGACTTTCAGGGAAGAGATCGAAGATGTCGTCTTCCCCAAAAAGCTGCTGGTGGGGAACTTCAGCGAGGAGATGATCTCGGAGCGCAAGCTGGCCCTCAAAGAGTACCTGCGCCTGCTGTACGCCATCCGCTGCGTGCGCCGCTCGCGCGAGTTCATCGACTTCCTGACGCGGCCCGAGCTGAGGGAGGCCTTCGGCTGCCTGCGGGCGGGCCAGTACGCCAAGGCGCTGGACATCCTGGTGCGCGTGGTGCCGCTGCAGGAGAAGCTGACGTCCCACTGCCCGCTGATGCTGGTGCCGTCCCTGTGCGCCATGCTGGTGTGCCACCGCGACATGGAGCGCCCTGCCGAGGCCTTTGCCGCCGGGGAGAGGGCCCTGCAGTGCCTGCAGGCCCGGGAGAGCCACCGCTACTACGCCCCGCTGCTGGAGGCCATGGCCCGCCTGGCCTACGCGCTGGGCAAGGACTTTGTGTCCCTGCAGGAGAGGCTGGAGGAGAGCCAGCTTCGGAAGCCCGCCCTGCGGGGCTTCACCCTGAAGGAACTCACCGTCCAAGAATATCTGTACTGAGTCCCCGGAAGGAAGCTGGACAGTTGGGATGACCATTGCTCTTGGGCTGTTTGGGACTCGTGCGAAGCAGGACATGCCACTCTGGGCTCTAGCTTGCTGGGTGACTTTGAATAAGCCCCTCCTCTCATCCTGTGTCACCATCTGTGTTGAACAGAGGTGCTCCCGGGTGTCCTTGGAAGCCTCTGCTTGTGTCCTCTGTCCCCTTGACACCAGACCCACTTCATCTCAAACCCAGCTGCCAAAGCACTGGAGAAGAAGATGCACTTTACTCACTTTAGCTGGAGAGGTTTACACTGCACATCACAAGCAAAGCCTAATCTGCTTCCTCACAGATGTCTCTCTCGCCGTTCAGGGTCTTTTCTCTCTGCTTCTCCCCCTCGACCTTGCTTGCAAATATTCCCACCCACTATCCTAAGTACACAGCTCTCCCCTCTTTCCGGTAGATCCAACGCAGCAAAACAAAAGGTTACCTACTGCTCCTCAAGGCCAGCTCTGTCCCCAGGATGGGCTGTATGTCATCCTTTGAAGGGTGGGAGGATCCTGGGCTGGAACGCAGTCCTGCCTTAAGAGTTTGTGACGCAAGGTATCTTGAGCAAGGGGAGTTGCCTGAGGTTTTCCGGTTAGGATGATGTAACTCATTCCCTAGGGTGGGTTTTCATTTGTCAGGCAACTGTCCCTTGAATGGCCTCGCTGGATTATGTAGACATAACCTGAAGGGAGATGGAAGAAGATACTCAGTGGGGCCTCTGGGTAGAAGAGATTGAATCAACTCCCCTGTCATCTGAGGGACAATGGGTTGGGAGGCCCTGGACTGAAGTCTGCTGTCAGGCCCCCAAGCGAAGTGGATTCTGGACCAATGCCCTGGGCTCAAGCAGAGCCAGGAGCGGATGGTACAGGCTGGTTTGGGTCCCAGGCTCCTTCCTGAAGGTTCCAAACAGACTGACACCTTCAAACAAAGAAAGCTTTCAATTATCTCAGTTTACTCCAGGAGAAGGACACTTCAAGTGGGAGAGACTGGGTTTCTTGAAATTCTGGGCATGTGGAAAATTAAAGTGTTAAATGGGAGAACAAAAAGAGCTGCAACTCTTTTATAACATAATGGTAAAGAAGATTGTGCTGATTTTACAAGTTCTTTCATCACATATGGAGTGCTCTCAGCCCTTGGATGCACCAAATATTCACTAAGAAAGAAAAAAAAAAGCCCAATATGGGGAGTTTAGTAGGAGTTTCCAACAAAAAGCTGGGAGAGCAAAAGTTAGCCCCCAATGAACACAAGGGTCAATGTGGAATAAACCTGTTTTGTAGAAAAGGCCATGAAGGAGGGAGGGCATGAATCAGACTTGGGGCTGGGTGGAGGGTGGGGAATCTTCTCCCAGAATTTGACTGCAAACTCTACTCCCCCAAGTTTAAGGTCTAAATACACACGATGTGGTCCAAAATACCTCAAGCAGAGATGTGACGGTAAAGAGGTTCAGGCACCTTGCACCACAAATGCAAATTCTCTCTGAAGAAAGTCAGCATCGATCCAGGCCAAAAGAGAGGAAGATGCCCTTGACTTCAGAGGTGCGACAATGTGTGGGGTGGGGGACCGTGCATCTCAAAATCACACATTTATGGTGTGTGTGTTTGTGTGGTGCAGAGAAGGAGGGGAAAAACCCTCTGCAAGGTAGAAGGGTCCGAAGAAACCATATGGGGGAGCTCCCCATCAGTATCCTTATTTGAAAAAGAAACTTACTATTATGACCCCCAATGGAAAATCAGAACCACTTGCTATAATTAGAAGGTAGCTATAAAAATAAACACAGAAACCTAGTGCTGCTGTGACACCTCAGTGGCATTTGTCTGAGACTGGCCTTGAGTCTGAGGCCACTGGACATCCTCTGTTACAAGAGACAGAGACCAGCCTCAGAGATCTGTTATCACCAAGTTGAGACTGCTCTTTAATTTCCCCAGAAAGAATGGAAAATACTGCAAAGGGAAATGAGCTCCTGACTGCAGACCCTGGATCATCCAATGTTATCTGGCTGCCGTCTCAGACCGGCTGGGGTCTTGCTCCTTTTCCCCCAGCCCAGGGCCCTGTTCCGTATCAGCCCTGATTGCTCTCCAGTTCTCTGCTGGGTTTGATTTCATCTTTGATGGACCTCCTTGGCTTTCCACACCCCAAATGGGAGGTGGTACCCAGGCTCCGGCTCTGGGCTTCACACCTCAATATCAGGTAAGACCCCCAAATGGAGGGAGATTCTGGTTTGGTCAAAGCCAGAACATGTTGCAAGTCCTCTACTTGGAGTCACTGTGCCCCTTGGAAGAGGCCCTACATGAGCCCCACCTGCCCGGTCGGCAGCAAAGGGCCCCTCACCAGCCTTACCATCTGTCTATGCGTGTTCGCATCTCTCAGTAAACAATGACTCATGATGTTCCTACTCTGTTAGACCCTGTGAAGAGCATGAACAGGACAGATCAGGTCCCCGCCCTCATCAAGGGGACCCTTCAAAGAGCAAGCTGAAGCTGGGACAGAATGGTCACCCTCGGCCAGATGGTCAGGGAAGGCTTCTGGGTGGAGGAGATATTTAAGGGAGCCGTAGGGAGGCGGTCACGGCAGCGTGGGGAGGGGAGACTCTGCAGCAGAGGGAAAGCGGAAGCACAGCCCTGAGGAAACTTCTCTGTCCCTGGGGGAGGCCTCAGCCCAGGCCTGGGCCCAGAAAGAGAGCAGGCAGGCCCAGGATGCTCTTCCCCCGCTGGGATACCTGGCTGGGCCCACGGGGAGGAGGGGCTCCACGTGCTGCTGACAGTCTCCTGAAACTGGCTCACTGCAACGTGAACTAGCAGCACACAGACCCTTTGGGTTGCAAGCGACAGAAAGCCAGGCTAATCTGATGAGGAGGAATTGATCCTCTGAAAAGTCCAGGAATAGATTAGCATTAAGCTAAATTGCAGCCCCAATCCCCGATATCCACATCTGGTGTCTTTCTCACTTTCTCTTTCTCTCTTAGGTTTGGTGTCCTGGAATTCACCTTCTCTCTCAACAAGTTCTCCTCCTGGTGACAAGGTGGCTACAGCAGCACCAGGCATCTATGCTCCCTTCTGGGCACCCCCAGATGAACCCCTGGCAGGCTCTTGTGAAGACCTGGTCTACAGGAAACACCCTCCCACATGCCTTTTCCTGAGGAGCAGGACCGCAGGACAGACCGCAATCAACTCACCCTGCCTTCAACGGAAATCGGTCTTCACATACTGATTTGTAACCTACTTCTTAATTTTTAAAATAGACTTCCTTTCTTTAGTGCGGTTGTACATTCATAGCAAGATTGGATGGGAGGTACTGATATTTCTTCTATTTCTCATACAGCCCCTGCCCCCACACATGATAACCTTCCCACCAGAGTGGGGCCTTTGTTACAACGGATGAGACTCCACTGAAACATCATTGTCTGTATTGTTTGTTTTCTGATGGGGACGTAATTAGGTTTCTTCATTGATTTTCGCTTGGAGGAGGTACCAGGGATTGAACCCGGGACCTCTTGCGTGCTGGGAATGCGCTCTACCACTTGAGCTATACCCTTCTCTCCACTGATAACTTCATTGTTGCCCAGAGTCCACAGTGTACATTAGGGTTCACCCTTGGTGTTGTGCATCCTGAGTTTGGACAAATGTACCCACCATTATACTACACTGAATGTGATGAATTTGTCTGATTAGAGAATGACTCAACTTTGTCTATAATCATGAGCATCTTCCTAGAATATATAATATTCTTCCATGCTTATTTTTTAGAGGGGTACTTTTTTTTAATCTATCCTACAAAATATTCCATGTGTACTTGAGAAGAATATATATTCTGGTGCTATTGGACAGAATGTCCTGTATATGTCTGTCAGGCCTATTCGGTGTATAGTTTTTTTTTTTTCCAAATTCATTCTTTCTCTATCTGAATAATTTATCCATTTTTTGTTTTATTTATTTATTTTTTAATTGAAGTACAGTTGATTTACAAAGTTGTATTAGTTTCCGGTGTACAGCACTTCCACGCTGTTTTTAATCATATTGTATTTTGGCATATGTGCCACTGCTATTTTAACTGTCCTGTTTGTTCCAAATTTTCCTCGCTACAGGCAGCGCTGTAGCAAATGCCTTGATCCTTTCGTATTTGTGCTTTCTAAGGCAGTTTCTAGCAGTGGTTTTTCTGAATCGTAAATACGTTTAATGATTTTGATGTTAATTTCTCTCTCTCCAGAGAGAGTCTATACTAACCCACTCTTCCCTGAGCCTTCCAAAACACTGGATGTTGACATTTTTAAACTGTCTTCAATGTGATAGTGATAAGTGGTATCCATGGTTTAATGTACATCTCCTTGTTTCTGGTGCGTATGGACATTTTTCATGGGCTTACTGGTCATTTTTATTGTGCCCAAGGTTGTGAAAATGTTGTGTTTTTTGATTTTTGGTTTTCTTCTTTCCCTTTCCATGTGTCACTTCTGGATGGAGGTGGGACCGAGGGAGCATCTAATACTGCAGTTTAAAAAACGGCCAGCAGATGGCGCTGCCCCATTGGAGGCTCCGAAAGCTTCCCGGGCTGTGCTGGAGAAGAGGCATTAAACAGGAGGGAAATTGAGCGTTTCTCTCAAAACAAAAAGCCCCGACTTTGAAAAATCGTTCGAAGGGGTTTGAAATTATGCTTAAAAGAAAGAGATTTGCTGGGAAAGCATTGATCCTTCGCTGCTTCTTAACCGCCACTCCCCACCGCCCTTGTTTGGAGTTCCCCCATGACCCTCGCTTGGGATTCGGAATCTCACTTCTCAGTTTCTGCTCCCTCATCCTCTTCCCGCAGCGCACAGACCCAAAGGGACGGAAGGAGGCCCCCTCGCCGCCCCCGCTCCACCTCCTCAGGCTGATCAGCAGAAGGCAGTGAAACCAAAACTCCTAAAAAAAAAATAAGGCGCATGAAATAAGCAGCGCACAGAGCCTCCAGGTTTCAGCCTGACTTTCAGCTGGCTGGCGCCTGAGGGAGGGGGCGCGATTCCAGTCCTGGTCGCTTGGGTGGAGCACCGGTTGCCCCTGGGCCAGCCCCTCCACTTACTGAGCCTCAGTTTCTCTGCTGGTAAGTTGTGTTAGTCTCCCATTACCACAAACCGGGTAGTTAAAGCAAACTTACTACCTCACAGTTCTGGAGGCCGGAAGTCTGAAATCTAGGTGTCAGCAGAGACGTGCTCCCTCTGAGGGTGTGACAAGGAACCTGCTCCCTGACTCTCTCAAGGCTTCTTGTGGCTTCTGGCGTCCTTGGCATTTCTTGGTTGTGACTGCATCCCTCTAATCTCAGCCTCCGCCTTCACCGGACCTTCCTCTGTATGTAACTGTGTCCACATTTCCCTCTTCTTCTAAGGACGCCAGTAATTGGATGAGGGCTCATCCGGATCCAGTATGACCTCATCTAAATTTGATCACATCTGCAAAGAACCTATTTCCAAATAAGGTCACATTCGCAGGTACCAGGCATGAGGAGATCCAGCTCCTCCCCTCCTCTACACAACTGGCCTGTCTGGCCCCAGACCACTTCCCCTGCCTCATTTCTGCCCTCTCCCCTCCGCCACATCCCCTTGAACCTCAGAACCTCAAATGGTCCATCTGCTTGGCATACTCTTCCCACGGCTCTGCGGGAGGACCTCCCTGGTGACCCGCTGCTCTTCTGCCTCCTCCCACTTATCTCTTTAATAGCTCATATCCCCGGAGAAATCGTCTTGGGGTCTGCTCACTGTCCCTCTCTGCCTCCGAGTGTGGGTCCCTGTGGGGCACAGCTCACCTGCCCTTGGTACCCAGAAGAATGTCTGGCAGGGCTGGCGTCACTGGTGTGTGACCTCTGCAGCCGCACGGAGCCCCATATCTACAAGGGCCCTGCACTTGGCTTAATGCTCTGCTGTCACTGTCCTGAAATTTTTTTTATTTTATTTTGTACTGAAACATAGTTGATTTCAATGTTAGTTTTAGGTGTCCAACAAAACGATTCACTTATACATATATACATATATTATCAGATTATTTTCCATTGTAGCTTATTACAAGAAATTAAATATAGTTCCCAGTGCTAGAGTAGGTCCTTGTTGTTTATCTATTTTATATATAGTAATGTGTATATCTGTTAATCTCAAATTTCTAATTTATCCCTCCCCCACTTCCCCTTTCTGAAATTTCTAATACTTTTTGAAAAGGGATCCCACGATTTCATTTTGTGCCTGGCCTGTTCTGGTGCCTGGCAGATAGAAGTCACTCAATAACTAATTATTGAATGATGCCACAGCATCCACTGGGGGAGGCATACCCCTGTGCCCT